ACATGGGCCAGGACCGGTCCGGGTGGGCAGCGCGCGCACGTGACAATTTTTCCATAACCAACTTGGACTATAGTTTTGGCCCAAGTCCATCCTTGAAGCATCTATAACTTCCTTCCTTCAAAAAAATTTGGATGCCCCAAAGGGCTCATATCTTTATCAAAATCTTGAGGTTTAAATTCCCATCAAAGTTTTTCTCTACAATCAATGTGGGATTAGTTGTTATACACAATTCTTAATACCTCATTCATGAGACCAACTTTATGAGACAATTTCTCATTCAATTCTTAATGGTTTTTGGTAATTCTTTTTGTAGTGTAAAGATCTTATTACAAAGAATGTAAACCCATTTAATCCCACATCAACCAATGGTTGGGACCTACTTTAATTTCTCAATAAAGTCACCATAAAATCATTTTTTCCAACAATTTTTTGTTTTTAAAATTTGTAAAACTTTAATTTATAAAGTGATCCCATTCATCAAAATTGCTGAAGTTGCCACTCTTATCTAATCCCTTGCATTAGTAATTTGTAGAGGTAGTAAATGAGCGGGTTAAAACAGGTTACGTAATAAAATAATTCAACCCAATCCGTTTATTTACTGGTTGGGTTTAAATGGGTCAGGATTAAATGGAGTGCAAATTGGACAAATCAACTCGACTAACCCGTTTACTTTAATAAACTTACTTCGTAATATATTCAAGTTTTAAAAATAATAAAAAATGGTGCCAAACAAAAAATGTCATAAATAGTTTTTAGAAAATTACATACACATGTAAATAGTCCTATATTTAAAAAAGAAAAAAAAAATTGAACCTAAACACATATATAACAATATATATATATATATATATTGTGTTTCCATATCTGTAGACTAGCAGGTGGCACACGCATTTATGTATACAATTCGAATAAGTAAGAATAAAAATAAATAATTTAGAAATTAATATTCTAATATGTATATGTTGACCAAGTGATGCGAGACTTCTTAATGAAATGGAAGGTCTTGGGTTCAAACCTCTTTCAACACTTTATGTAATTTTTGTTTTTAGGACAAAAAATATGCCATGTGGCATGAGGAGAAGGCTTGGACACCAAATCTAGCCTTCACTTACAATTTGAATAAGTAAGAATAAAAATAAATAATTTAGAAATTAATATTGTAATATGTATATGTTGACCAAGTGATGCGAGACTTCTTAATGAAATGGAAGGTCTTGGGTTCAAACCTCTTTCAACACTTTATGTAATTTTTGTTTTTAGGACAAAAAATATGCCATGTGGCATGAGGAGAAGGCTTGGACACCAAATCTAGCCTTCACTTAATAATAGTATAAATAAATATGCCACGTGGTATTAGGAGAAGATTTGGACACCAAATCTAACCTTTACTTAATAATAGTATAGATAAATAGATAGATAGATGTGTATATCTTCTATACATCTATTTATACTATTATTAAAAGTGAACAACTCACTTGATTTTATGAACCTCTTTCTCTCCTTTTGCCAAGTATCAATTTCTCTATTCAAAAGGAAAAGAAATTATAGTTACACATAGGGATGTGCGTGGTGCGGTTTGGGCGGTTTGAGGGTAAAATTACAAACCAAATGGCGGGTTAGCAGATTGACAAATTGCGGTTTGGGTGGTTTTTGGCGGATTGAAGAATATTTTAACTAATTATCATACATTTACATAATATGTAATATTAATTTGTATAATATTTTTTAGATGTATAACACAGTAATTTTACATAATATGTTTCATAGATATAACCAGTAATTTGTAATAAATTTCATATCTTAAATCTCTCTCACACTTATTTTTACATTGATATTTCATTAGAAGTTAAAAAATATATATGTATTAACTATAGCGGAGCGGAGCGGTTCGATTGGCGGATTATAAATTTTAAAGTTTAAACCACGGCTAGCGATTAGACCGGTATGGATTGATGTGGATCGGTGCGGTTTTAACGGATTAGGCAGTATCTTGCATAGCCCTAGTTACACAAGGGGGCACAAGACCTTAACCAATGATCATTGATTGACATAATAAAAAATACTTTTCACTACTTAAGCAACATAGAAAATATGTTTTGAATTTAATATTAAAATTCATATTTTAAATACACCTATCAAGTGGGCTCACATTCCTAGTAGATATAGATGCATGCAAATAGAGCTAGAACTAGTTAAAAAAAACAATTTAAAAATTGAAGTTAGAGGGAGAGATAAATATTGTTCAAAGAATTTTGTTGCCAAATAATTAGCAGTCCAAATCCTCTCTAGTCAGTGTCTCTAGCCATTCTTCCGGTCAACGACCAAGATTTGGCCACGTCACTTTAGGCAAAAGCTATGGCTCAGATCAGATGCTTTCTAATAAAAATAAAAATAAAAATTTCATTTCATTTCATTCAACACAGCAACAGAGTTCCTCCCATTCACTTTTTTCCTCCCTCTTCGAAGCTCTGGTGAACGACGATTGGCGGTGAATCCAAGTCGGCGACGAACATCAACAGTCTCTCCCTCTGTCTTATTAACAAAGTAAATCTACATCAGATCAACAAACCCAACTGAGTGCTGAAGCAGCATGGGCTCAAATGTTCAAATCTCTAAACAAGAAAAAGAAAACACAGACAAAGTAGAAAATTGCAAGCAATGGGAGTCTTTTTAACTAGGTCCCAAATTTGGAAATGGGTTTGTTCTATAGAGTTGAAGAACTGAAGATTCAAGTGAAAAATTAGAAAAATCCCACAAAAACAACAAAAATCTAGGCCTATGCCTAATAGCCTAAACTCTAACAATGACTTCAAATTTATCACTAGCCAATAAGCCAAAAATAGATTCACTCTGTTTTCATTTTCAAAAAAAAAAAAAAAATACTAAGATTAATTCAGTGAAAAATAGAACCCAAATTGTATAAACTGAAAAGGAGCAACTGGGTCTACTCCAAATCTAAAAATGGAGTCAAAAAACAAAGCCAGAGGCAGTAAGAAAAGCAAAAAAAGATCACATTTTTAGAGGATTTACATCTTCATGCTCTTCAAAACCCAAAAATAGAATTGAAAAGAAGATAAGAGCTAATGTAGATTAGCAGAAAATGAAAGAGATTTAGCGGGGCACTTACTCGTCCAATCTCATCATCATTGATGACAATGAACTCATTCCTGTTGACGACGAACTCAGTCTTTTGGTATCTTTTGTTTTTTTTTATTATTTTTATTAGCAAGCATTTGATCTAAGCCGTAGCTTTTGCCCAAAGTGACGTGGCCAAATCCTGGCCGTTGACATGAGGAATAGTTGGAGACACTGGCTGGAGAGGATCTAAACTCAATAATCAGAAGCAAACCAAATAAAAAAATAAAGTTAGAGAGAGATGCAGTGGGTTATAGATAATTTGTTTTGTTTGACTGTTGTTTCATACCATCTAAAAAACTTGTACTCATTCATTATTCATACTATTCAATACAAAGTTTCTCTTCTCTCTCTCTAATATTATATTAGGGTCTAAACCCATAAAATTATAGGCAGATTGGCGGGTTCGGGTCAATCTTACCAACTCTAGAAAATTTGTAAAGGGGATTAGAATTTGTTTAACTTTCGTTTCCATATAAAACTTGATATATTTCATTTTTCTTATCTTTCATGATTTGCAGATATTTTTAAAATCCTAAAAATTTATAAATGGACAATTATTGTCGTTGTTCTACCCATCTTTCGACATTTTCCTTCCTCTCTAATAAGTGCAATTTGTCAGGTGTATTTTCATTCTTTATGCTCACCCACTTGTGAGTCGACTGAAAATAAATTGAAAGTTCCAATGAATGTTTTGTGATAAAATAGCTCTTGCCCAACTCAACTCATTAATCTACAAAGTTCACACATAGAAAACAGTTTACAATTAAGGTGTCCTTTGGCAAAATTTATAGTTTACTATTTTTTTTATACAAGAAACAATAAATATGTTTATGTTTATTTTCAATAAAAACGAATACAAAAAATATGTTTGGTATATAAGCATTTTAAAATTTTATTTTGAAAACAAGTGAAAATGAAAGTTACGGGAGGTGATTGTCAATGGTTAGAGATAATGACCAAAGATGGTTGTTGGCAACGAGAGGTAATGGCTAGAGGTGATTATTGACCACAAGAAGTAGTTAGAGATAATGACTGGTCAACCGCCTAAAGTTGTAATTGAAAATGATTTTCAATAAAAAATGGTGGTCAAAGATCGTTATCGCTAGTAAGAGGTAGTTTGTGGTAATGGAAGGTAATTAGTGGTTGAGGGATGTGGTGGCCGCACTACTACAAAATTATAAATAAATCACAAATTTTAAGTATGATGTAAGTTATTTAATCACGGATTTTTTATTTTGTCGAAGTGTGATATTTGAGTGTAATTGTTAAGGGTCATTTTTTATCACACTTTTTGATGGTCATTAAAAAATAATTCCATCACGTGTTTTGACTGTGATAATAAACATTTAGATCACAAATTTTAAGTGTGATTAATAATCAATAAAGCCTAAGATCACACTTAAATAATCCATGATTAATAATGAGATAATATCACAGTAATATATATTTCTCATCACGGTTACTGTGTGATAAAAAAAGATTCAACCACAAAATGTGACTATGAATTATAGCGTATAAATTGTGATTAAAATCTAAACAGAACTAATATCTAAAATACAATCAATATTATTTGTAGAAAAATTTCCTTTGAATCACAACATTGACCACACATGAATAGTTAATAACCTCATATATTTCATAAACAAAACTCGAATTTTGAAAAAATATATACAATGAAAATTAAGGAATAAAAGGTTTTTTTTACTGTGATTACATAATAAAAATCGCAATTAAAAAAAAAAAACTTACGGAAAACTCAAAGTTCTTGAATATTCGGGTCTTCTTTGACCATATTTTCCATCTCTCCAAGCAATTTCTGACCTGAATAATGAAAATACAAATTAGTTCAGAAATCGCTAAAAGCATAGAAATAAACTGATTAATTTGTTTAAAATTAAAGAAAACAAAAATTAGAAGAAAAAAAAATCTAAAAAGTTGATAGGATTTATCAGAGTTTGAATTAATCAGCTAAGACTTAAAATTAAATGCAGGGGTAACATCATCCAGATACATCAACTGGATAGGTAAGGAAAAATATAAAATTCTTGATAAGTGGTCTAAGAACAAAGAAGAACAGATTAAAATGGAGAGAGCTGGGCAATACACTACATAAAAGAGGGATACTTCGTGTTTTGTTGACATGTCAAGCATTTTCCCGGAAAAAGAATATCACATAATCACATTACTCTCTTAATCAAGATGTAACACGATTTAGAGTCTCTCTAGAGAACAGCCCTTGGAGTTGGGGCCAACGAAATAATTCAAACTCCATACTGTGAAAAACGGAGAAAGGGTAATTCATATAAAAAATGAATTAGGGTTCAAGCTAGGGATGAAAGAGCACTAACGTAGTGCTTGGCCAATCCCAAAACAATACAAAAGCCTCAACTTGAATATACTAAAATTCCATTGCTTCAGCTGGCAAGAACAGATGATTTTGTTCCTAGTTAGCGCTTAAGTTGATGATAAAACTTAACCATTTCCATTAAATAAATAATAAATAGAACAAAAACTAAGGTTATTAAAAATCAATACCAATTGAAGTAACTGAACAGCTAAAAATAAAGACCTTATGCTTGACAATGGGAAAGGGTCATTAACTTTAGAAGACGAAGGAATGAATCATAGAGGAAGGAATGAATCACAGTGGGTATAAGATTTCAACTCCGAAGTTACTTGTAACTTTGACATAAGACCCAGCTATGTTTGCCGTTTTCAGAGTGTTGTGTTATAATTATTACCGCCTCTCTGAAAATATATATATATATATATATAAATACTATGATTAGTGTAAATAATCTCTAAAACATTATGATTAAGCAAGAAGGTGAACAGAGGCACTACGTTTAAATCAAAAATGAAAAGGAATCAACAAGAAGAAAGAGCACATGAGATCACCATATACATAGGAAAATTTATGTGTATATATATACACATAGCTATATATATACATACTATGATTAGTGTAAACAATATCTAAAACATTATGATTAAGCAAGGAGCTGAACAGAGGCATTACATTTAAATCAAAAATGAAAAGGAATCAACATGAAGAAAGAGCACATGAGATCACCATATACATAGGAAAATTTATGTGTATATATACACACAGCTACACAAAGTCACAAACATCCAGCTGTAGGCAAGCACTCTGTAAAGGTCTTATAATAAACTATATTTGCATTCAAAAAGCCCTCTAATAGAATTGGAGACCTAAAAGAAGTGACAACATAGCAAAATGGATCATTAATGAGCAAAGATATATTATAATTATAGGAAGCTTCCATGTATGCAGCTAATTGTTGGTTAGTGTGTTTAAGCCATGGGATACCTGGTTTGTTAGGTATGCTAGTGAATGCTCTTGGCGAACTGACGCTTGTAAAAACAAGACTTCAACTCAAGCTATTCAATTTCCTTCTTGGAATTTTGTTTCTCCTGTAGAAAAAAGAATGATGTCATTAATGAGCACTTGAACAAGTTAGTGGATGACAACAAAGCAAATGACCATAAGAACTTCGCTTGTCTACAGCCCTATAACATGAGCACTAGTCAAGCAAATGAATGAAGCATTCACAATCTAACAAAATATTCATCAACAACATCAAGTTTCAAAGCTTGAATAAGAATTGGCCAGAACATCTAACGAATGAGAAACAGATAAAACTATCATACAGAGTATCTAAAGTCAGTTACAAAAGAAGTGGCAATTCCTATCATTGGTAGAGAGATACAGACTGGAATTGCATACCTAGATCTTCTAGAGCTACTGCTTCAACTGATTATTCAGCTCTCCCTACTGAGCCGCACATGCTCTAAAGTTGTAGAAACACCAAAGATTAAGTGCACGTTTGTGTATCCAACCCAAATTGCCACATAATAGAAGGCAGCGCACAACCCAACAATCTGCAGAAGTTAGTTGCAAAAACCAGAACACATGACAAACACAAATTATTGCAATCAAAAAGGAAGAGAAAAATGAGAACCACAAATAAGCTTTGGGTAAAAAATCTATAAGTTCAAAGCATCCCCATGAACTATGAAGGGTCGTATCGCTGCCCAAAATTAAAAAGGCAATGACACTAACCTACATGCATATAAATATATATAGACACCTAGATTATACACTCGCATAATGAGATTAAATTATTAGAAAGTTAAAGCACCTAACTAATGTAGCATGAATGCTCGACTTTCAGAAAATTAAAAGCGCAAGTCACATATGACACATTTGAAATATATGTAAACACTCAATTTATGGTGTACATCAGCCTACCTTGATACATGTTTATTCACTTACAGGAACTTTACCTTCTTATATGAACTAAACATTTCAGAAAATAAAAAAAACTCAAATAAAATACCGTACATTGAAACATATGTAAACACTCTAGTCAAACAAATCATACACCTACTGAATTTAGCATTGTCATGAGTTATGGTGCACATCAACCTACCTTGATACATGTTTATTCACTTGTTGTAAGAGCTTTACCTTCTTATGAGAACTAAATATATGCACATGTCTCTTGACCTTATTTCTGGCACTAGCACCTGGTTCAGGAGAATAATACCTAAATGGGAGCATAAGCCAAAGCACCTGGTTCAGGATAACTTTGCTTGCCTAGTGCTCATGTTGTTGATGAAATTTGGTAATGCTTCACTCAATATAGAGAATATTCCAAATGCTTCACTCAATGAGATGAAAAAAGTGTTTTTTTCTTGATTTGATAAGCATTTTATGAAAAGGTTGGAGATGGATTTTGGACAATTTTTCATCAAATTTAAATTTGATAGAATAAAAGAAAGGGTTTGAGGATTGAAAAAGAACTTTTTTAGTTGCAGCAGAGCAGACTGCTAATTTTTACCCAATAATCGTCAACCAAAAAGGTTAATTCAAATATGATTCTTCATGTAAGAAAGGGAACATGGAATTTGACTAAACTTTGGAAAGAAAAGTTGTCTTCCCTAATTAACTGTGGACAACAGATGCAAATACAATGAAAACTTAAGAGCCATGACAAAGTGACGATTGCATTTATAAGGTAAAATGTCTATCTTACGGCAGCCTTGGCCCTATCCATCAATCTCAAAACTCCAGGTCTGGGCTCCACTTGCCCATTAACAAGACAAATCGATTTTCTTGGAAATCATTCATCCAGAATAATCACCCATGTAGATGAACTAACAAGTAATCATAAATGAAGAATAAATAAATTCCTACTTACAGTTCCAGATTTGATAATTTCCTTGTATCTTTCAGTCTTCCAACCCTACAGATAAATAACCCTAAAACAGTCCATAAATATAGCCAACTAATTGATGATATAGACTAAAAAAAGTCTCTTCAATTTGGAGGAATTTACAAGATATTAGCATAAATATAGCCAATTCATCTCTGTTAAAGACCATGATCTCTTCCCCATTTTCCCCCCAATTCTTCTCTCCAATAGGAGAGCTTTAAGAATAATTATGACAAAATTGCTATTGGTAACTTTGAGGAACCCTCTCTTTGCTCACAAGAGAAAGAAACCCTCACTCAACCAATCAGCCTGGCATGTTTGGTTACCGAAATGTCTAGATAAAGCTGAATCACCCGAAATAGAAAGAAAGGAAATTTTGCTAACAAATGCAAATCCGACTAATTGACTTAAATTAATTTTTTTTTTTTTAATTTCCTAGAAACCAAAAAACCAAAATCAAAATCCAAACTCAACTACTATCAACTAAAACCTCACAATCAAACAATGATAACATCAAAATTAAAAACACAACTACAATCAGAATTTATATAAAAAAAAAAAAATCAATATTTAATTATTTCGATGTCGAGCAAGGATTTTAATGAATTGAATTGCAAGTACTTGGAATTTGAATTCTGAAAAAGTTAGGAATAAGAAATGCAAGAATCAAATATTCATGCGTTCAAGTGAATCCCACTTGGGGGATAATAGTAATATGTTAGGTGAAAAAAAAAGGTGTTAGAAAGATTTATTGAAGAGTTGCTGTTAATAATAAGTTTAAGAATACAAAAACTAATTCATAGAATCAGATGTAGAATTTGTATAGACGGAAATTTTTTTACAGAAGTAGAGTTGTGGAGGTCGTCGGGAGCGCCGGAGATAGAATTTGTAATGATAACTACTTCGCCGCCTCCTCCCTCCATCGCCGCCGCTGACCGTTGCCGGAAACTGATGATCAGATACTCCGCAGCGGCAGATTTGGAGGAAGAAGAAGAAACGGTGGTGGCAGTGGAGGTAGATTTGGTGTTGTCATGGTCGATCAATCGATCGAGAGAGAGCAGAGTTGAAGGAGTCCATGGGGTTTATAAGGAAGAGTGATGCATATAATCACATTCATTTAGGAATTGTGATTAAAAAGTATACATATAATTACCCATATTGGGAAGGTGGAATTAAAAATGAGTACAATTCTTCATAGCAAAATGCTTGGTAGCTCGAAAAAAAGCTGCTCAAATGGTCCGAATGGGTGTTGGCCGGTCATCCACCCGGACGAGCGGATGAAAACTTGTCTACCGCGGTTATCACCTTTGTCGACCGCGGCTGTTAGCCTTCTCACGCAGACGACCGGCAAGGTGAAATTCAAGCCATTCGAGCCAACCTCCTTTTCGGGCCACCTAGCATTGCTCTTCTACTTAATTAAATTGGAAAATTACCCATAAATCCTATATGAAGAAAAGTTAAATTATTTAGTCTTAAAAGTTTTCTAGTAGACCAATTAGTCCCATATATATATATATATATATATTTAAGGTGATTTTGGTTCTATTTGATTTTACATGAATATTCTTGGTGTGATTGTGTTTTCCTAAATGAGTGATTCTGTTTTGGATAGGGCAGAGCAATGTTATCATGGGGACTCTGTTTTGATTGTTTAACATTGATCTCATTGTTGTGGAGGGAGAGTGTGGCGTTATTTCCTGTCGTGTTGGGCATTTTTTCCAGTGGCGACCATAATCCATTTTTGCACTCATTTTCTGTGGTGTTTCTTGGGTGTCATCAGGTGTTGATTACGCCCATCATATTGTAACAGGTGAGTAGTTCGACTATTTGATGTGTTAAACGTTGTATGTTTATTTTATTTGTGGTGTTGGTGGTGTGTGATGGCATACCAAAATTACACACACAAACTACTCCCATCATCTAATTATACAAATCTCATTTCCAATACACATCATCATACGCTAATACACACCAAAACAAAAACAGAGGAACCATCTCCTTGTCCACTGCACCCAATATGACAAAACACTAGGCACACAATCATAATCACAAAATACCAACATCATTACAGTTAATGTAAACCACCCCCCCTCCCAAAAAAAAATAAATAAAAATAAAAAGCCTCTAATGAACCATTACCATAACAAGCTAACATGCTCTAACAACAAAACAGAGGAACCCAAAATATCATTACCATCACAGTTGACGTAAACACACCAAAGCAAACACAATGGGTCAAAAACCATCCGTAACCCAACCCACAAATTGCCAATAACATTAACAAATTCACAACTGGAATGTTTTGATTTTTTCTTGATGTTAGGTGGGTTTGTTATGATATGTTGTTCTGTTTCTATTTTTTTTTTTTTTGGATTGCGTGGAGTGATTTGTAGGGTTGATGATGTTACCCAATTAGTGTGGTGTTTCTAATGTGGAATCATTGGTTTTGTTGAAGGAGTTGTGGTTGATTTTTTTTTTTTTCCATTGTTTCCCATGTTCTCATGCGGTAGTTGCTTTCTGGAATACCACGAGTCCATTGATCCATTTTACCACGTTAAGGAGTTTAGGGCAGCGTATTCTAGGTCTACTCGATTCCTACGGTGGTCAAACTCAAGTTCACAACAAATAATTTCCTATGTCATTCCCGTTCACGCTTTCCTACAGGCAACCCCATCTGCCCAAATTTATCTTAGTAGAAGTCTATGACATTTTACCTATTTAATGTGTATGCCCAATTCGTGGAATATACGTTACTACATAAATAATATTTTTGGTGAATTTGCAATTTTTTACGAATTATCTACTTGTTTAGTAGATCACTAAGTCATTGGTTTCGGTGTTTATGCGAAAACGGGAAGAGAAAAAAAAAAAAAAAATGAGACCATAGGTGCCACATGTAAGTGGTTTGATGGCATTGTTTGTGTTACAATATGGGTATATTACAACATGCACTTGGGGAATGTAGAGGTGTACCATTCAATTTTTTTTGCTGTGTTGTTGGGTTATGTCACCAAACATTTTGGCCAAAGGGCGTCACATCCAAAGCGTATTGAACTGTTTATTACGTCATTCTTATTCAAGTTCATATTATGGTAAGGCGGGTGCCGCACAATGACATACCATTCGTTATCAAGTTTTGGAATGCTTATTACTTTATTTTGTTCAAATCCATTGACATGTTGTTTTTTAAGTATTCAACTATTTAGTAACTCAATTTGTTCGAACCCAGGTACGAGGGGGTGGGGTGAGATCTATGTGTTAAAGTTCAATTTCACTATGACTGTTTGTGATGTAATTTACGAGCCACACATGAAGGGGGGCCACATACACTTTTTTCAGTAATGTAATTCTCCATATCGAATGCATAGATCCACCAACTACCATGTACAAACTTGCTTTGTTTCAACAAGTCATTGAGCAACCACAAATAAATTCACAATGGGTCCTATCAAATTCCCGTGACATTAGCATAATTCGATTACAATATGATGTTTAAAATAACCAGGACAACAACATTTTCCATTAAACAAAATTTGATGCACCTAATGCATAACTGACACCTAGGTTTAAAACACTTACAATCATACCAACCGCGTTCACAATTCTCATTTACCATACAAACATAACAACATCACCATTCGTTGTGGACCCAAAATACATAAATTCATACACTGACACATACCGAAAATAATATTTTTATTAACTGCAATATAATGTAATTGTTTACTAAGGCATAACGGCACATGGTGAAAACAAAATCAAAATTCACCTAATTAAATGGCCAACAAAAATTGGCATGAAACACTGGCTTCCACAATGTTCATCAATGTCAAAAAATGAACCCAAAAAAAAAAAAATGCAAAACCCAAGTCAAACTTGCAGGGGGTGGGGGGATTGGGGGGCTGTCAAACATAGCATGCTATCCTACCACGTAGTCGTCCTCTTGTTGGGTTGATCATGAACATTTTCACCATCATCGCGCGTAGAACGGATTGTGTTAGTCCATCTATTGTGTTGTCAATTTCAACCCTGTGAACGTATTGTCGGATGATGAAACAAATGAAGATCGCATAGTCCGACCTGCACGGAAACACATGAAGCACCACGTCACACTCATTACGATACAACAGAATTAAACCCGAAAGATGACATCAATAACACTTACGTGTTCGGTCCTTCTTGTGGGAAGTCTACAACCAACACAAGCGTGCCATCAAAATCTTGGATCAGTGCATTGTTGGTTACCATCCTTGGTTTCACGAAGCTAGTATGGTGGTCGACCATCCAATGTTTCTGATGAATCAATGTTAATTTTTCAGTGTAGTAAATCGCATGACATATTCACAAACAACAACAATATTGGTCAAACAACCATAAAAAGGTTGTCGGAGTGTCTACCAATTGTCAATTTAATAATGACAAACATTACATTCCTAAAAACTATATCATGCTCCTTCAAGTACATTAGCATGCTTACCACTTTCAGTGCCTCATTGTAATGCTCATCTTGCATCCTTTGTCTTTACCTCATGGAATTGTGATGCTTCCACGTCCCAGTTTCCAAATCGTGCACCATCACAGTCCAACCGGGTGGACGTTTGAACGGACAACTTTGAATGAGGTGTTCTCATCAGCCTTACGTTTAGAGCCTTGCCTTCCTGCACTACCTGCCACATCAAAAACTACCAAAAAAATTAATCCAATTGTATACAGGAAAAAATACCAAAAAGATGAACAACACAACTTAGATATCAGCATGAACATCACAACAAACCACTCATGTGATTCAATTCTTAGTGACAAAGACACAGCGAGCAAAAACATCTTCTAACTGACAAGCAAATACATTCCCACATGAATATACGGAGACATAACTTCTAACACCATAGCAACGCTAGTCGTAATGTTACTCTTAATCAAATGCACAAATCAACACTAATGTAAACAAGCTCAACCGGAAGTCAACCCAACCATTTAACAATAGAACGTCAAAAATTTGGACACTCGATGTACCACCACGTGGAATATTTAACATGGGTGTGAATGCAAACACACATTACCTAACATTGATATAATTTACATCGCAAATCAACACAAAAGCAAATAAACTCAAACAATAGCGGACTAAACCATTTACCAACAGTACAACAAAACCCACTCAAAAAATGCAATTGACATTGCACTTCATTACCATGTACATCACCAACATTACTCTTAAGCTAACATGGATGTCGCAGACATTCCACATCACTAACAACATATATACAATTGAAAAACAGCAGACCCATTGGGCCATTACAACATAACAATACAACCAATGGCACCACCATTAAATTGATGCCAAAAAACACCACCACAAACACATAGCGCCCCAAACATCAAACGAATGTCATAGACAAAATAACACTACCAGAACTACAACCTCAAAAAGGATGAGCCATTACACAACTATACCCCCAATGCAAATCAAAACCCACCCAAACAATAACATCTAACAACATCACGGACGAGAAACAAACATCATTGTCTAACATCATAGACAAACATATACTCTAACATTAACCACAAAACTCGAATCAACCATAAAAACTAGGAAATCAAACATTGGGGGCTACATACCTGACGCCATTGTTCACCAGCACGATGGGTGGATGTAAACTCGGAGCTTGCCAGAGTAACATCGGTAACGTCAACTACAACCACAGAATTACTCAATTTCACTCGCTACCGATGACGCAATTTTATTTACAGAATAGGGTTTTCGTATTTCTAGGGTTTGGAAGGAAAACCAAATGTTAATTCGGGCAGGTCCGAATGATGATTTAACATTACCATAAATGTGTTTTGAACAAATTGAGGATTATTCATCAAAGGCATATTCAATGGATGTGTTAAAGCTGTGTGTTAAAGCGTATTATATGAAAAAAATTGTTATAAGTGAGATTTAAAAGTATGTGTTAAGAGTTTGTTAATTTAGTGAGTGAATAATAGATTAATGGTGATGTAATGGATGTGTTAAAGAGTGTGTTAACTTGTGTGTTAAAAATATATATATGTGTGTATAATAAATAAATAATTTAGTTTAATCAAAAATTTCAAGTCCAAAATTAAATTTCAAGTCTAAAAAAAATCCCAACAAGTAATACATATATATATATATATATATATTGTCATTGACTGGTCAATCGGTAAGACCAAATTTTTTTTTTCTTTTCTTGAAGGATTCGGAGTCAGACGTCCGGGGACGTCCCCCAAGCACATTCACTCTCTCTTTCGCTAACTAAAACGCTCGCTGCAGTTAACATTGTACGGGGAAGAAATAATTCTCCTCGTATAATCCTGTTGACTAAGTCCACGCTCCTCCGTACGACGTCGCTTCGTCACCTGAAAACACAAACGTGAGCTAGCCGGCGGGTGTGTGCCGGAAACCTCTCCGATGCCTAAGTCAGAGAACTTGACGAATAGACAAAGCTCAATGTATTCAGGAAGTAAAATTGTGTGTTGTGTTATGTTACCTCCTCCAAGGTGTTGCTTGTGAGCTTTTATAGATTTCGAGTGGCACAATCCTAGTAGGACTTTTGTTTCTCCATGAAGAGTCCCCCTAGGATTCATACTCCTAAAGGATAATACTTATCATTTTACACCCCCCACTGCTTAAACCAAGTGGGATGGTTTTCACCATGGCCGAACTGCCATTTGACCGAGGTAAAACTGGCTTTGCTGAGCCACAGTATGGGTCGAACTATCCTTAGTTCGGTTCCCCCTTTACTCCTCCTTACCTCGGTTCTCTCCTGTTCAATCCACGGTATGTTTGGACCGAATCAACGATTCGCGACCGGTATAACTCCAAGACGGTCTAAATTCAAGCTACTTCCGAACCGAAGTAGCTTCACATCTTGACCGAAGTGACTTCATCTCCTTAACCGAAGTAACTTTACAATTCTGAGCCGAAGTAACTTCGTCTCCTTTAGCCGGAGTAACTTTATTTCTCTTGGGCCGGAGTAACTTCTCGGCCCTTTTTTACCCAGCCCGTCATACACTGGGCCATAAAGTCCATCTCATAGCTCGGCCCAATTTTCACCAAAAATTACCCTCTCACATACATATTAACATTTGACACTAACACATATGTTAACAGCTCCATTGTAGTCCCAAACAACACCCTTAACTAGCCAAAACTTAACACCTAACACTAACACAGCTTAGTATGTCTATTGTGGATGCTCTAACATTGCAACCCCAAAACTTTCCACTTTCTCTTTTGTTTTGATCAAGTGGGTGGGAAAACTAAAAAACTCTGCAGAACGCTTTTAGACACATTTGTAATTCCAACATCACCAAAACCCCCCTTTTACCCCTCCCTATTGGGGAAAAACGTGATGCAATGCTGTACAAAAGTGTCATTAACATTGAAATGGATTTATTAGTCTACACCAAAAAAAAAAAAAGCAAGACTAAATGGTTCATAAAACCTAAATTTGGAATTTATTAGTACTTTATCCTAATTAAATTAAATGTAATTAAAATTTGTTAATCACACTTCTAATAAAAGTGAGATTTTTTTTTTTAATTTTTCTTGTGTGATCTTTAAATATTATTGTATTAGTATCGAAGATGGAGGTAATAATTTAGAAAATAATTATTGTGTTATAGATAATAATTTATAATTAATGAGTTAAAATATGTAATATGATAAATAAATGAGTAAAAATGAACCTTAAGTATAATATTTTAATTTTATTATATGAAAAACAATTGAGATAAGGATGGGGTAGATCTGGATGGAAGAGTAATGGGTGGTAGTCGGAAAGAATGGGAGAAAGAAGAAGAAATGTCAAAAAAAAAAAAAATAAATAAACAAAAAACAAAACCAACTTTTCTGTGTTTACAAAATTTAAAACTTTTTGAAAACGAAAACAAAAGCCAAATGAATTTTGTTTATAGTTTTCAAAAATTATGTAAATATATATATATATATATATAAAGAGAGAGTAAATATAAGAGACACTTGTGAGCTGAGCCTATTGACTATTTACTTATAGGTCCTGACTGATATATTTATCACTATAAATTTATTCATAAAAACAAGAGAGACTGATAAATTTATCATTGAATAAAAAATTAATAGGACTTAATGATATTTAAGTCTCCTTAATGAGACTAATTCATAATTACCTTTAAATATAAACATTACCAAACAGACCTTAAGGGTCTAGTTTCTCTTGAAATCAAGATCTGGAAGGGTGCCTACTCAGGCTTGTAAGTCCATCATAGGTCCTGTTTTGATTATCTCAATCATTCATTTTGTATGCCTATTTGTCTATATTATCAAAATAAATAAATAATCAAATAATCTTAACGTATTCAATTAATCAGATTTGTGTTCGAAAATGGATGACAAGGATGTGTAGTATTACATTAGTTTAAGGGAAAACGTTATGGTTGGTGCATACCATATGCATCCTATCACAAAATGTGTAATTTTATCATAAAATTTTGTAATATCAACTACAAAATGTGTACTCTAGCCACAAAAATGTCCACAATTTTGTAGTTAAATGTTGTAAAAGTTTGTAGTTTAATTATGACATTTTTTGTTACGTCAATTTGTGATTTTAAAGTTTTGTAATAAAATTACATATTTTGGGGGGTAACATGCCCCCTAGGAGAACCCTAGTTTAATTGAGGCAATTGCCCTACCTAACATCAGGAAATAAAAATTCAAAAAAAAAGAAAAAGAAAGTAAAATAGGAGAGAGAATGTCTCTCAATGAGTGAACGTAAATTGTATAAAACATTGTCTCTTAATGAGTGAACGCAAATTGTATAAAACATATAAAACAGTCATTTTTTTTTTTTTTGGATCTCTCTTAATTATAAAATAGAACAGTAATAGAGAAAATTTATTGTTTGCTCATGTCCCAAAAACATTCCTAGACAACTACAAAACACAAGCATAGGGTTTAGTTTCTACATGACTTAATGAGTGGCATATTACTATTTTAATTAACCTAATTGATATTAAATTATGTTTATAGCAGATTACGTGCCAATAAATTGTGTTGAATTATATTTAAATTTTGAGTTTTGTTGATGTACTAAATTTTGTTTAGTGGTTATGTTATAAGTTCGTTTTTTGGAAAAATGGGGAAAAAAAAAAAAAATCAATGAAAGAAATTTGTGTATAATATTTTTTTTAAATGAACAAAAGTGGTCAGTTTGGTTTGAATTTTAAAATTAATTTTGAAAGATAACTTTTTGAAAAAAGTTACGAAATCTGTTCGGTTTTTTTTTTTTTTTTTTTAAAATCCCTTTTGAAATCTTAAATTTTTTTGCCCAAAATAACACTTTTGAAGCAAATAATGAAGTGCCATCCTTGCATTTCTAACTTCAATCCTATGAAATACATTTAGTCATAGAACTTAAAATTCAGTCATGACTTACAATATTACAGATAAATTTATAGATTTTTGAAAAAAATAAAAATAAAAATAAATAAAACAATGATTTTCACAACTTCAGAATTTTGGAGGAAATTGCAACCTCGGTGTAGTGAATTTTGTCCCAACTCTCATATTAATTAGTACAGTCATTGCAACCTTTGGTTGTGAGTGAGCTCCCATTTATCACTTTTGCTAGGCCACCGGCCACTCGGCTGTAATAGTTCAATGGTGGACCTCCATAGCCACAAAATGCCATTAACGATTGTTCAAATCCTACAAATAATATTATTCATAACAAAATAAATAAATAAAAATTTAAAAATGACATGATAAACCAGCTCTGCATTCAGTTATGTGATATGATATTATTTGAGAATTTTGCTATGCATCAAATGCCATTAAATAGTTAAGTTTTGAGTTTGAGATTCTTCAAAAAAAATTCTTATTACACACCCAATTATATAACTCCCAAAATGGAGCCAATAAGACACTGGAGTGCAACAAGCCCACCATCCCATCCCCCTTTAATCAAAATTATATATGCATATTTTATGCCAAAAAAAATTAGAAATTCTTAAAATAGTGCCCCCTAACCTTTTAGTTTTTCAAAAATGAAAAGACCCACAACATTTTTTTGTCTCATTTTACAAACCAATAATGTTATATTGACCGCATTATCTTATCGCATTTTGCATGCTACCTTATATGTTATTACATCATTAATTTAATGGGTTCATCCTATCACTTATCTGTTATCAATATAGTAGTGATACCTCATATGGTATATAAATATAGGGTACAATTGTGATGTCTTGGGTCTTGGACCCAACTTAAATTAGTTTATTCGGATTATTTACCTCATGTTTAGAGTCCCTAGAACCACGTAATGTTGTTATACTTCATTTCCCACTTGATTTAACCTTCTTAATATTTGTGGGTTTGAAATTTTCGAGTTTTCAGCATAAGGACAAAATCGAGAAGTGTGGGACTACCTTAGACAAATTTCTGACCTTCAGCCATTCCTGCACGTGCGGCAAGAGAGGCCTACATGTGCAGTTTGATCTAGCAAAAATCAAGTTGGCCTGGAGCGGTGGGCAAGGCCTTCACGTTGTTGGATTAATTCGTCTTGAATTCTTCAATTCGTAGTCTTCTAGTCTTCAAAATTTGGCGAAGATCTTGTCTATGTAGAACAGAAAATTAATGCTTCAAGTCACGTTACCTAGTCGCGTTCCAAAAGATAATATTTGCATCCACCAAAAAATGTACAAGGGGCTACAACAAATTCACCTCTAAGATATAATAAAGCCTGATCTAAGTATCAAATCTATCGACATCTGCACTGATGACAATAGATCAGAATACTCTGGATATAATCAAGAAAACTAAGACACTAATAATCAAATTTGCAGAATTTGATTACCAATA